AATCAATTAACTACTAATTATTAACTTGGAAAATTAAATATTTTGATCGACCCCGATAGCTCAAAACCCCACTTACTCAAGCAGTTTTTCATTTCCCTTCAGAATTTGAGTTACCAGGGTTCTACTGTATGCTGAATTGAAATGCATGAATAAAAAGACAGAGATTAATATAAACTTAGTATTCATTGACCCTTCGGTACCCTGTTAGCTGACAAAAGGGCTCTAATTTTAGTCTTCAAGCAAAATGCCTCCCCACAAAACCCTTTTATGGAGGGACGAAGGCATGTTTGCTGCCATTCAAAGTGTAATGAGTGGGTAACTTTCAATTTGCAAAGCAGCTGCCGAATTTAATGTTCCAAAATCTAGTCTTGGCCATCATATTCATAGGAGGTTACAGCATGGAAAAACGAACGGCCCAGATATGCTTGTCACCCCTACTGATAAGGCCAAGCTTGCAGCATATCTTGTAGATGTCAGCAAGCAAGGATATGGAAAGAGCAAGGAAATAATCATCTTCATGGCAACCCAAATGGCTACCAAAAGAGGAAAGGAGGTTAAAGGGCATTGTTTATCAGATAAGTGGTGGCAACATTTCTTGAAAGGGCACCCAGATGTCTCCATGTGCTCTACGGAGAACTTTAGAACTTCATTTTATAGGCGGCTGTTGGAGATGATGACGCACAACAACTATGGATCTTTGCTTTAAAAACACACCTAATTTTCAACTTGAACAAAAGTGGTTTTGAGTTTGATGCAATCAACAAGATCGTTGCTGCAGCAAGAGGCATGAAACATGAACTGAGAGTGTCCAATGGTCAGTAGGAAAAGGTTACTGTATTGGCGTGTGCGTCAGCAGCTGGCAAAAGTATTCCACCGAAGTTCATCTTCAAAAGTCTTAGTGGCTAAGTACCAAATGGTGTTCAGGAAGGTGCTCCATGAGGAACCTTGTTTGCGGGAAGTCTGGCTAGATCAAGAAAGATCTATTTTTTGTATACTTCCCGAATGCCCCATACTGTTGCTGGTAGATGGCCACAAAGTGCATGTTACAGCGAAGCTGATCGAAACAGCAACAGCAAATAAAGTTCTGGTCTTCTGCTTCCCTCTGCCCTCTTTGCACCTTTTGCAACCTCTGGATCTATCCCTCTTTGGGCCGCTTAAAAGAGGATGGGTGCGCACCTGTGCTGCTTTCAGTCACATCACCTGTGCAGTTATTAATCAGTTCAATTTTGCAAAAATCTTCAATGTAGCCTGAAGTAGCAGCACAACCCCAGATGTCATAAGGAAAGGTTTTCAAAGATGTGGCATTTACCCGTGTGATCCCTGTCTTTGACTACAGCAAGTTATCTCATGTGAACTGTGCTTAATTATGAAATATGAATGAAAAAGTGATTTAATAGTATTTATCATATTTCTCCAACTTTATCGGTTTGAAACCTAGCCATTAATTTCAAATTTGTTGTAAATCAAGAATTAAGTTTGTGGTTAACGTTAAGAAGTAGAAATAATACTGGAAAGTGAGAAACAGGGCTTTTCAGAGTAGAAGTCTACACCAAGACTTCCATCGCAAACAACATGTCAACTGGCACAACTGATATGACAGTTTGACAGCAAAACATAGGAGTTGATGCAACAAATTACCTCTTAGTAGATCGATTTTGCATACATACACGTGCTATCAATACTGATTTTGGCCAGGGCCAACTTTGAGTGTTTTTTTCTAGCTTTTTCTGATCGAGTATGTTTTCTTATAAATCTATTATGCAAGATTTGTTGCTTTTGCAGGAAGCAGTGGTCAACAACCAGAGGCTTGAATGCAAAATTTTATTCAACAAATCCAAAAGAATTCTTTGGCGTGGCCCAGCACAGTTTTCGTACATGCTTTTGCTGATGCAATTCAGTGTACGCACAAGGATTGGAAAAAACAAATATGCCATCAATAGAGTGATCCGGCAATCAACACCTGCACTATCTGTGCTATTTTTCTCTATGTTTGAACGGATTGTATTAATGGCTTTAGTCTTTTATTACAAAAATATATTAGAAAAAGGTAACAATGCAAAGAACCCAGCAATTCTCAGCTTTTTCTTTGTTACCGAAGAGATTCCAGATGACGAGATTTCTTGGTGTCTGATGCCCACGGACATTCCAGGGAACCTTTTGCCCAAGACGGCAACGGCAGATTGAAACTGTTTATATTTCTGTACATCAATTGCCCTGACAGGCACTGAAAAGTTGGCACACATTCTGAGCTACTTGTGGCAGCTGAATTGTTCTTAGAGGCCCACCTTTACACTTTGCATTTGTATTTTGTAAAGAACTTTAAGAACTGCAATTACAGTGAAAGTACCTGGTTTGCCATTGCCCTGTCTTCAGAGAATGAGCATGTAAGAAACAGCAAGATGTGGTAGTACAGGAAGCAACAATCACTTGCCACAGTGGGAAATGGAGGGCCATGCTTCAAATAATGGCATTAGTGTCAGTTATCAGTTGACCAATTTTTGCAGCATACCCAGTGTGAGCCAAGCAGTGAGGTCGTTTTGCCATGCAGTAGAGAGCCCAAAAATGCAACTGCCTCATCAGGTGTTGAAAGAAAATATGATCTTTATTACGTGAACAAGGACATCCTTGGTACCTCAAAATGCCACTCTAGAGCCGAACCACTTTGTACCACTTCAGCCATCAGTTGGTTGTAACAGGCCAAGGGTGTAGCTAGGGGGGTCCTGGGGTGCCCATTACCCCCTTTTGTAGGGTTTTTTAAGCAAACAACCCACAACAGGTGGCGATCGTTGAGAATTAAGCCCACTTTTTAAAATTTGTTTTGTATCAAAGTATTTTGGTCAGTGGCTCTTGTATTAAGTTTCCGTAAAATAAATTGATCCATATTTAGCCCTCAAGGTGCTGTTTATCACTACTTCTTCACTTTTAAAGCATTCAGAGTGTCTACCTCACTTTCATTCAACGTAATTCTTCCTATGACACAATGGCTACAAGTTTTTCTCTATTCAGTTGTCATATTTTGACAAAAAAACAGAAACTGTACCATTCTTTGGCAAACATCTGACCTCAATACAATGGTTTACCATTGCAAATGACCTCATAATGATGTCACAGTAATGTGTGCATATCATTTTGATAACAGCATTGTACTGAGCACGTAAAATTTGATATCAACCAATGGTTTAAGTGCTTTTCAACTTTTAGGTATGGGTCGCACTTGGAAAATCTTTCCCAGAATTTCTTTACTTGTCGGTGGAAATCTGTCATCGTGGGCCTTTGCCTATTGTGACTGCACGTTTTCTGCTTCAGCCAAAACTTTGCGAATCGGCAAAACATCAAAGATGCCGTAGTGCTTGGGTGGTGCAGGCAGATTTTCGAAAAGTCAACCCAAACAATGGGAATCACAAAGGTAACTGTCAATGCTTGTCAGCGTAACATGAAAAATTATACACGCGGGAAGCTCAGTTCTAGTTTGCAGTCTTTCATCATGAATGGACGAGGCTATTATTATAATCCCGCACAATTTCAAGGTTTTCACGGTTTTTACGGCGATAGCATGGAATACCCGCAGTATGCTCCCATCTACCATGATGTGACTTGGAAGGGGAATGTAACTGAGCACTTCACATGTGAGCATTGCCCAGGAAAACAGTCTACTGGCCAGGTCCATGGAAGCAAGTGCTTCACAAGCGTCATCGTCTTCATCTTCCCAATCGTCTTCTGATCCTGAACCCGCAGATACTGGAAAACGATCTTATTAAAGATGGTCAGGTGATGAAGAAAAAATGCTATCAACCTGTGGGCCGAGAATTTCGATTGCATCAACAGCAGTCAAGCTCGCAAAGCTTGGGATGACATCAACAAGTAAATAAATTTGAAATTTGGTACTGACAACTATCTCCCACTAGTACAACCCTCCGTTTCTGTCTAAAAGTTTTCCTTTCCGGTTGTGGTTTCAAATTTTTCTGGTTTTTTAGCCGGCAAAGATGAAAACTTTTCCCAAATGTGACCCACACCTTACTGGGAGAATTTCCAACAGTTTCCCATTGGTAAACCATTTATAAAGAAAAGTTAATTTATTCTATTTTTAATGCCTTACTATTGATAAAACATTGGGAACTCACGACATGAAGTTCAAAAGTGTGATAAAACAAGTGATCTTATGTAATTTTGTCTGCTGAACAGAATGCTTCAAACATGCAAGTGTGATATAAAAATGATGTTATTACACATGGTAAACTGTCACTAAACCGATAAAAACGGGCCTTCTAAGCCCAATAGTTACTTTTATAACAGTGTCTCATTTTAATTCCTATTGTACAAAGTTTTTGCTTCTTTTTTCAGTTCAGCTTGGTATAACAATTATTTAATGCAGATAAATGCAGTTTTTTCACCGGTAGCCATGAGTAACTATGAGTAACCATGGATAACCAAATGACGGTTAAAAGGATACTCTTAATATCGATCAGTTAATTCATGGTTTCCCATGGTTGACCGAGGTTACCTGTTGATTTTCTTGTATAGCGGTCATTTGAATTACTCTAAGATAGCCTGCTTTGGGAGTACCACCGGTAGTTTGTAATTCAACAATTACTTTATTATTTCATTCCTTTTTCAACGAGAAATAAGGTGGAGATGACCAATATGGCACACCATCTGTAGCAAAATTACTTTTCGACATATTACGACTTATTGCGACTCATATTAGACATATTACAACTCATCATGTATCGAATAGACATGAAACAGGTCGAAATAGGTTGAAATAAGTAATGTGATATCATCGTCATGTAATTCTATCTCGAAATACGATGGTTGTCATGGCTATACCATGTAATGCAAAGCTCGTAATGAAGTATACCATGTAATGTGAAGCCGGTAGTGATGTTTGAACCCTTGGTTACCGCCTGTTGTTAAGGACGCAACCTATTCTCCTACACGAAGCCTATTTACCCCAGTTTCTCTCAGCTCGATACAGTTCTGCCATATTTTGATTGTTTTGCTCTTTGCCCGATCGTCTTCTCGTGAAAGTGATCATTCAAGCTCACAGTTCGCTCAATAGGATTATTGCCGCTATCTATTTACATTTGGTTCTTTAGATTTATTGCATTATTTATTTAGTGTTATCTCATTGTTGTCGTCTGCAGCTCCTCGATCTGTTCCTCTCTCACATGCTTGATCATTGCTGCCCTCAATCATTGTCTGTTCGATCCATCTTTCTTGTCTTTCTTTTCGCTCATTTTTGTTCGTAATTTTTAAGTCTTAACTGTCTGATAGAATCATGTCCGGATATTCTCCTGAATTGTTTGTGGAAAATGTGGACCAGGAGTTTCTTTGCAGTATCTGGTGAGTTAATGTTATTCCTGCTTATTTTGCAGCAATTTAAGAGTTCTCTGCCAACCCTGGAACGGTTTCAAAGACGTTACCATCCTTTGACAGTCCTAGCCTTACTTGTAGAGACCTTTTTCGCTTGGGCGGATTGTTGTCCTATTACAGACCACGTGGTATTCCCTAGAAATTTGTTCTTTTATCCATCTAAAAATTATTTGTTCATATACACCCAGCTATTTGAAAAATTTGAAGGAAGAATTCTCAAGAGTATCATCACATGGTCTGAAATGGGGCAACAAACCGCCCAGTCAAAAAAGGTCTATTCCTATATATAAGTAATGCCATCAACTTTTCCATCGAAAATTGCAGAATTTTTTATAGACATATTTGTAGAATCAATTTTTAGGGCTGTGACAGCATCCATTTTTGTGGCTACTACCAATTTTTTTGGAATAAATTGTGACGTTTTTTTGTTGTTGTTGCAGTTATGGTGTGTTCAACAAGCCAGTGTCTTGTCAAGATGGGCATTCCTTCTGCCACCACTGCATCACCCAGTGGCAGTCAAATAATAATCATTGTCCAGTCGACAGGAGAGTTTTAAGTGGTACTTTGGTTAGAAATCTTGTAGTTGAAGTTGCTATTAGCAGGAGAGTAATGAAGTGTCCATCAACGATCTCTCTTCCTGGTGGCTGCAGCTGGACTGGGCCAAAAGCTGGTCTGGAGAATCACCTTCCACATTGCGATATGAAGATTGTGGAATGCAATTTTAAAGGTAGAGGATGCATTCTTCGTTCTTACCAACGTGAACTTGCCAGCATCTGCTAATTTGCCCTCACAGGACAGAGAAGTGCCCTTCCTCTGGTGTGGATGTTCCACATAGTGATCAATCAGGTCTTGATGAGCTTTTTGTTGGCAAATTGGTGCCATGTCCGAACAATTGTGGGATTCAGGTTGAAAGGTAGATTTTAGTTAATTATGTATTGTTATTGATGGGAGCTACTTGTGGTAGATAGTCTTCATTTGCTCTTTATGTAAAAT